CAACCGAAGTTTCCAAAAAAACCCCAAAGCCTTCTCCGTTATGCTCCGGATAAGAGATGAAAAGCGATCGAGACGGTCGATAACGACACGGGTATATGGAAACGATTTTTGGGTTTCAAATGCCACCACCAACCACACAGCCTGCCCAAACCCACCGCCACTGCCACCATGATATGCTTTGGTCTTCAATAAACCAACGACGACTTTTCGGCTTGCACTATACTTCTGTTGCACCGGCAAAGTCAAAGTCGCCAAAGTTGCCGAGACCGTCGTTGTCACCAGTGTGCAAAAATGAATCAAAGTCAAACGTCTCGAGCGCGCCGCCGTCATCGGGGAAAGTGAGACCAAGGTCAAAATTGTTTGGCTATTGAGGTGTTAGCGAGCGGTACTATGAACAACATCAAAACAGTAAACGTACATCAGGATCAATGCTGCCAAATGGCTGACCACCTCCATTGTCCATGGGTTGATCGGTGGGCGCTGGTGGTTGCACAGGCTGCTGTGGCTGACCATTTTGTCCCTGGTTGAAGGACTGCTTGTGGACTGGCGTAATCGGGGCCACGGGAGTGGAAGAAGTTGGAGTAGGAGGCTCTTCGCCGTTTGTTGCTGCTGGAGTCGCACCTGTATTCGCCCCTTTCTTATTTGCGGGCTTCTACAATCAACATCAATGTTGCTCAAGGGTGGAAAGGAAACTAGAAACTTTACCTTATTGTCCTTGGTAGGCTTCTTCTTCGGATTGGCCTTGTTGGTTTGAGACGGAGTCGGTGGGTTCGGATTAGACTGTGACGGAGAGGGCTCGGGTCGCGGTTGTTCGTTCGTAGGTGCTGGTGGTGGTGGCATTTGCTGGCGCTGCTGTGGATTCTGGCCCATAGGTCCTCCCATTTGCTGACCACCGGGCATCATGCCAGGCTGAGGCCCACCACGCCAACCATTCTGTTGCATCTGTCCGTTACGCATGGCCTCCATTTGTGCGGGCGTTATCTGTTGACCACCAAAGTTGGGTGGCTGCGGATGAGAGCTCGGGGGCCGCATGCCCATCGGGCCATTCTGGGGCATTCCCTGGGGATAGAACTGCGGAGGCATTCCTGGGGGTGCCAGGCTGGGATCAAAGTTCATGTTGGGTGCAGGAGATGCGCGCTGCTGTCCCATGATGCCTTCTGGCATGGGGGAGCCGGGGAGATTCTGCTGGCCCAACTTGGGCGTACCCCGCTTCATCTGGTCGGCGGGATTGGGTGAAGGACCGCCAGCTCTGCTACCTTGTGGTGACATGGCTGCTCCAAAACCTGGGGCGCCCATGACACCTTGCTGTGGGTGGCCGGACTGGTTATCCTGTTCCTGTCGTGCCATGAGTAATCGCTTCTTGTTCTGTTGTTCGAGAAGCATGAGCTGCATCTGGTAGTCCTGCAGGGCATGGTTGCCTTGCTGAGGTGCACCTGGAGGGTTGGTGGGCATATTGCCGGGTCGTGGCCCGTTGCCAGTAAAGAGGTTTTCTTGACCTTCAAGACCGGGCTGGGCCATTGGAGAGCCTTGGACGCCAGAGTTCATACCCTGGGGGGACGACGTGTTACTCATTGCCACTCTGTGTTGATGGGCCAGGCTTTGGGCATATACCTCGATGTTCTTCTGCTGCGCACCTGGGCCTTGCGGCATGAACTCGTTGAACTGGTTGTTGAGCATGTTACCAGCGTTCATACCACCTGTATGAAATTGAACGTTAGCTGACATACTAGGTCAGGGTCTTGAAAAATGGACGTACCACCATCGACACGCGGACGCTTGTTTGGAGACGGGGCATTCTCATTGGATCCGGGCGAGTTTGGACGCTGGCCGTTCATATCCATGCTTGAGCCGTCTCGCTGCATCTGCGCCGTCATCATGCCGGGGCCCTTCATCTGCTGCATGCCCGCCATGGGGTTGCCGGTGCTGCTGCGTGGTTAGCGGATGGTGTTGACTTAGCACGACGGTGGTGCAAAGGAAAACATACGGTCGGTTGTTGTTCATGGCTGCCGCCCGCTTAAGGTCGGTTTGGTTACCGTTGGTCATTGCGCCGTTTCTCATCATCTGGTATTGCGCGTTCATAGGGTTGTTCATCATCATGCGCTGGTTTCGCTGCTCATTCTGCAACTGGCCGAGGTTCTGAGAGGTGCGTTAGTGGGCTGCTATACGTGTAAGATGAGCTGGGACAAGATTGCCACCTACCCGGTTGTGGCCGACGTATTGAATCGCGTTCTTGGAGGCATTGCTGCGCGGCTTGGTGGCCGTGTAAATATCCCAGAATTGGACCCACCAGTCGAGCAGGAAGGAATTGTCTGCGACCTGGTTGGGGGGCAGCGAGGGAAGAGGCAGGTCGTCTATCTGCTCAATCGCGTCGGCGCCATTCATCTTGCTGTTGGGACTGGCCTTTTCCGTGGCCATCTTCATGTCGCATTCAAGCATGGCGCGCGCCAGGTTGAGGTGTTTGTTCCGCAGAAAGTAGTCGTAGATGTACGTGTTGAGCTTCTCGGTGGGGTCGGTGCCCTTGCCGCCGGGTTGCGCCATATTGCGCATCATGGGGGTGCCATCGACGGCGCCGTTGTTCGCATTCATGGCCGCCATCTGCGCCATTTGCTGTTGGTTCTGCATCGCGACGATGCGTGGGGGGGGCGGGTGCGGCAGGCGCGGAAGACGGGTGGGGAGTTAGCGATGGATGCGCGGTGCTAGCAATAGACGCGATATGTGTCGTGCACCTCGGTGCTGGATGGACGGACTACAACAGCATGGGATGTCGTCGCCACGGGAGATCGGAGCCGGAGCCGGAGCGGCGTGCCAGGGACCTGCTCAGCCTGCGAGGGACGGCGGCGAGGCTGTAGGCGCGCAAGTCGTGGGCGGGCGGGATGGAGGGCAGCCGACAGAGGGTAGCGACGGTGGTGTCGCGATGGAAAAGGCGGCGGCTGATGCACGGTATGGGACTGGGGGTTAGCGTGAAGGAAGGACTTTGAGAGGGGATGTCAGCGGCGCGCTCTGCACGGAGGCTGCCAAGAGATGGGATCACGACAACAACGACAACGACAGCCGAAGATGCGCCTGCGTGATGGAGCGCGACGGGCGACAAAAGGGCTCGGAGGAACAGTGGACAGGTCGTGGGAAGTTTGTGACGCCCCGGGAATCGAGGGGAAGGGCGGCGGCCGCTCGCTGGGCTGCGCCAAGTCACGTCCACGTGACCGAGTATTATTAGACTTTGGCCTCGCACCAGCCTCCCCTTTGCGCACCCGCGCGCCCTCAGCAAAAACTGCACTCTGCTGCTTGCTTTTGGCCCTGCATTGGCTGCCCCCCCGACACGCCTCGCGCCATTGCCGGCTGCTGTGTTGTCGCCAGTGTCGTCGTCGTCGTCAACACAAGGCCGCGTTACACACCACGCCCCGACGGCCTGCGTGGTGGGGCATGTGCATGTAACGCGACCTGGACACTCGCCCTCACTGCTCGAGCGGGCGACACAGCACAGTGTATACCTTGCTGGCCTCGCGCACCCGGGAGCCCTGGCCCGGCCATCACTCAGTCCTCAACCGTGGGCAGACGCGCCCTCGTCAATACACACTTTCACGCACGTGCAGAGCAAAAAGAGGGCCCCCTTTCCCCAATCTACCGTCTTGCGGGTGCCAGTCGGAGTGCAATTGGCGCCATTGTGCAATTGTGCCCTCGTGCGCCTTGCTGACCGCCTACAACCGTGCAATTCTATCTGTCGCAATGCATCGCATCCCATGCCAAATGCAGCCTGCCCGCCTGGCATAGACTTTAACACATCCATGGTGGCGGTGTGCAATTCTCCAGCAAACGGGGCACTGTGCACACTGCTGCCTCGCTGGTCAAGTGCCTTCACTCAGAGTCGTCCACACTGTACATGCCCGTTTAGCAACCACTGTCCCTCATGCTCAAGACATCAATTGGAACGTGTTTCCCCCCCCCTCTCTCACACACACACATACACCCTTGCTCCTTGTTTTCTACTCGTCATCCGGTGGCATCTCGTCATCAATGTAGCGGACCAATGATATCCTCATCTCCGTGGTGTCGTTGCCTCGTAGGACGTCACTGACAAAGTGCGCCTCGACTTGCATGTGTACCTAGTTCGGAAATGAGTACTTTGTTTACCTGCAACATCGCGGCAGACTGCAATCCCACGAAGACGTACCATCTCCAATGCACCCCGCAGTACACCCACTAATATGTTTGAGAACCACAGCTCATCCTGCGCGCGCCCATCGTCTGGTAACTCGACGAAATCGGCAAGTGGGTTTTCTTCGAAAATGAGCGAGAATTGCTTGTTGTCGCTCGACCAGTTCGTGATAGTCGGGGTAATGTTGAGGAAGATTTTGAAGCCGACCTGTACTGCATATCAGCCACTGAACAATCTATCCATCTGCGACTTGACAAGGGCTACCTTGGAGATCATCTCGGCCACCTCTCGAAAATTGGTGCAAGCAGGCGCACTCGACTTTGCGAGGAAGTCTTCAATCAACCGTATTCCGATGTTATACCCCATGCGCTCCAGTTGCTTGTTGACGTCTGGGTAATTGTATTCGTAGTCTTTGCATAGTTGTGCAACAATGGTTCCGTACGTGAGCGTGACTAGCTCGGCACTGACTTTATCGACTCGTGTTCTTACACAGTCAGAACCAGCAAACGCAAAAGGCTCATACACAAGGCTTACTTCCATACTCTGACATGTATTAGCGCATCATGAAGCAGGTGCCAGGCTTGTGGAGCTCACTCCTCCCCCATGCGGGCTGCTTTGGTTGACGAAGACATGGTTCACTCAGGCAATTTCTGGCGCAATATACACAGAGGGCGAGGAGAGGAACTCTATGGACGCGGGGTAAGGCGGTATGTGAGGTTGCTATGATTGAGTCGTGTCGTCGGCGTCGGGGGGCACGCGGAGCAGCGTACTTAGCTCGGGCTGTGGAGCGTATATCTCTTGGCGCCGATCTACGCATGAGGAAAGTTCGCGAGCTACTACCAGACCGCGAATTTGGACGCGACGAAACCGAAAACTCCACCACAAAACCCATATCACCACACATACTCCACCATGTCTAGAGAGAAGCGACCCGCCAATGAAGCTTTTGGCACAAGCCAGTTGGTCAAGCGCACCAAGTCGGATGCCAACCTTGGAGGAAGCTCTGCAATAGCTGTAGTCAACGGCTCGGGCGCAAATGGCGCCCTCATACAAGCGGTACGTTACCACCGAGGATGTTTCTACACAAGTACCAAGGCTGAAGGTAGCGATGCGCTGACAGGTGCTGTAGGGGTCGCGCGCCAGCGCACTGCAGTCGCCAGTCATGGAATTAACAGGCCACTCAGGCGAAGTCTTTGCAGCACGATTCGATCCGACTGGACAGTGCATCGCTTCTGGCTCTATGGATCGTTCTATATGTAGGTTTGGCCCAAGATTGACTGCGAAATTCATATTGACGGTAAACAGTGCTTTGGCGCAGCTCCGACACTTGCGAAAACTATGGCATCCTCACTGGTCACAAGCAGGCAGTACTCGACTTGCACTGGTCACGCGATTCCAAAGTCCTCTTCTCAGCATCAGCAGACATGCACCTAGCAAGTTGGGACGTCGAAACTGGAGAGAGAATACGAAGACATCCAGGTCATGAGGAGGTTATTAATTGTATGGACGTGAGCAAGCGCGGTGAAGAGGTGCTCGTTAGCGGTTCCGATGACGGCTATATTGGAGTAAGTGTTACGCACAAGATTGGCTACTGTGAGACTGATCTAGCTGCGGCAATAGATTTGGGACACTAGAACAAAAGATGCCGTAACCTTTATCCAGACCGACTTTCCTATAACAGCAATATGCCTAGCAGAAGCTGGAAACGAGCTATTCACAGGCGGCATTGACAACGACATTAAAGTCTGGGATCTGCGGAAACAGGCAGTGACGTACACACTGATTGGACACACCGATACAGTCACTTCGCTCCAAATGTCTCCAGATAACCAAACACTATTATCCAACGCACACGATTCGACTGTTAGGACGTGGGATGTAAGGCCCTTTGCTCCCGCTGACCGACGCATACAAACGTACGATGGAGCCCCTACCGGCCAAGAGCGCAACCTCTTGAAGGCTAGCTGGGACTTCAAGGGCGAAAAGATTGCAGCTGGTAGCGGGGATCAGAGCGTGGCCGTTTGGGAGACGCGAACAGGGAAACTCTTGCACAAACTGCCAGGCCACCGAGGCGCTGTCAATGACGTGCGTTTCCACCCTCTTGGCGAACCCATTTGTAAGTTGAACCAAATTTCCTACAAGCCTCAATACCTCGGCTGCGGCTTCCAACAATTTCTGGATACCCTGCTAGAAGGTGGAACCAAACGGAGGGCGGTCCGCACGCTCTCTCTCTCTCTGTCACTTTCTTTGTCTCCTGCGAAGCATCAAGCTGACTTGGCAATACTTAGTGGTCTCCGCCTCGTCAGACCGCAAAGTCATGGTAGGCGAGCTCGGCAAGTGAAAGGGTGAAGCTTCGGTATCTTGGCTACGTACACAGTTCTGACTCGAAGAGATGGGCACGAGAAGCGTGGAGAAAGGCCCCAGTAGCTTCCGGCCCAGGTAGACGTCACGGGGACGTTTGTGGATAGGCTGGATACGCCGGTGCGACAGTTGCCAGGGTTTGAGAGTCGCATGTACGCACACTGGTCGACGATGCAGCGAAACCGGCGAGTATGGTCATTGAGAGGATGCGTCGAAGAGAGAGAGAGAGAGAGCTGGCGTAGCAGCGCAACCAGCCGTCGACAGCAGTCTAGCCAACAATCAACCCGACGAAATTTGCTATTGCGCGCCTTCATGCTTTTATTATATTGTGCTAAGCGCACGACAATCTGCTGCCGCCACCGCCTTACAGCCGCGTTACTAAAAGCAGGGCCTGGTGGTTGCGTAGACCTGATTGGGATGGGTGTTTCAGGCTCCTTTTCCGACAGCCAATCAAGGTCGGCCTTCCCCAGGTCTTTCCCTGAGCTGCGCTATTGCTGTCATCCACCACACGCCCGGGTGGCTCCAAAGCAGAATGCCCATGTCGGCGAACCCGGTCTGTGCTACACGTAGGATCGCTGCTCCAGCCCAGCCGCGTTTCATCGTTGCTCTCATCGCACTCTGACACGCAACTCGTCGCGAATACGTATAGCGCTCAATGCTTTCTCGACCGTGGCCGTCGTTGCTGTCCTTACCCATGTCCTAGTGCGGCAGCAACTCTTCCTCCTCAACCGTGATGGCTCTATCGTCCTTTTCATTCCGTCGTTGGTAGTTGGCAGCGGTGCTGCGCTCTGCCTGTTTCGCTTCTTTCTGTTCTTTTGCATTTGCTTGGCTCAGCTGGCTCTGGATAGCCTGCTTGCCCTTTCACCCTTCATCCAATACGATAATACTCTTCCATCGGGGGTTCCTGGGCTTGTTTCGATCTTGGTAGGCGTGGAAAGGTACAGCCAACAGTTCGCGCGCCGGACATTACAAGACGACTCCGGGCAACACAGTCATCCACTCATCTGGATACTACTCCACACTTTCCATCCTGTTACATCCAGTCCACAAGGCCCACATGCTGGCCTAGCCATACCGTTCGCTCGTTCATCCGTTGAGACATCTTGGGGAGAGACCAACAACAAGCGTGCCGAGCCTAGGCCACGCCTTGTGCTATAAGGGAACAGCGAGTGCTCAAGATAGAACTTGGGGTCCGCATTTCCTAGTTCCTGAGCCTTGTCGGTCCTAGAAGCTATATACAGAACACCATGTTCCGGTCACCGCTCTTCGCTTGGTCGCCACGACCAGACCAGGACCAGGACATCGAGGCTTCTCCGGCAACCTCATCGCCATCTCGATTCGGCGCCTTTCGCAGCAATGTGCGAACATTGGTCAACGGCTCGTCAGTCTATTCACAGTCGCCAGCTCTCACCAATACCAACAACCACAACGACACAACACCAAAAGTGCCATTTCGCGGATTCTGGAGCCGCCAGCAATCTCCCGATCCAAATACACAGCATGTCTCAGATGATGAGCCCCGCGACTCACGTGACTCAAGTGCGCCTCTTTCACATCATACCGCAGGCTCATATATTGGCGCCATTGAAGATCCTCAGGAGCCAATAACAGTATACTCACGTCACCCAGCGGATGTACAATTACCATCTGAACACGACGGCCCCGTAGATCCAGCAATTCAGCAACCTACAGACGAGGCCAATGGAAGGCGGCATAGGCGGCGCAAGCACCGGAGGAGAACGAATCGTCGTGCAGATCGACGTGAACAGTGGGTGCGAAGAAGAGATGAGCGAGAGTCCACGGGAATCTATGTTAGGGGATCAGCTGCCCGACGGAAGATGGTTGCTGTTGTGATATCCGGAACCTTTCTGATCGTCATTCTATCCATCTGTACGTTTCATGACACTTTGCTTGACACACGTCAGACTAACGTTCGAGTGCAGATCTAGCATTGGCCCTAACCAACAAAGACCTTGGCCAAGAAATCCACATCCTCTTCATCATGGTGCTTCTCACCGTCACCATCTTCTTCTGCCACTCCCTCATCCGCCTCTGCATGCTCATGCTGCACCCGCCGAACGAACAAAGACAATTCATTCCTAACATGCTCGGCTCCGAGGGCTTCCAACCTATTGTCCCAATCCGCGTCCACCTCCGCCGCGACGAAGAAGCCGCGCTAGAAAGCGACGCTCTAGAAAACGACACGGACATTGACGACCCAGAGAAAAACATGCCGCCCCCACCCCCACCCGCCTATGGCCTCTGGCGCAGCAGCGTCCGCGTAGACCCAAACCTCATCCACTGGCAGCGCGTCGACGCCCTCAGCGAGCGTGGCAGCGCAATGTCGTCACAAATGCCATCGCGCGTGGGCTCCGTGGCCGAGCAAATTCCTCCGCTACCCACTTCTTCGCGCGCGGCATCCGCGGTAGCAGAGGGCCCACGACCCCCCTCGTACGTCTCCGAAGACGGAATCAGTTACGTGGTTGAGGCTGCGCCGCGGTCTACCGTCACCAATAACAATCGCGATAGCCACTCGGGATATAGTGAAATACATCCTGCGTGGCGGCCTGGCTACGCCATGAGTGAAATCAGAGGCGGCGAGTTGCCTGCGGTTGCGAATTTTAGTAGACCGTAGAAAAATGGTTTGAAAGAGTGAAACCAAAAAATATGTTTATCTGTTCATTTGCATTTGCATAAAAAACCTTCTGTTGTCGTTGTTTTTACTTCCTTTATGCTTGTTCACAACATTACCGAGTCCAATGTTTTCCATGTTTTTCTCTCTCTCTCTTCCATCTCGTACTTGTGCTTTTCAAAGTATTTCGCATCTTTGGTTATTTTTTCCCCCTGCTTTAGGAATCAAGGTCTTAATTTGAGCGTTTTCGCTGGTCCTTTTTTTTTCCCTTGCACTAGGACATATGGCATTTTGCATCTATCTTTTTTTTTGGTACATTCGCCAGCATAAACATCGTTTCGTTCGTTGTTGTTTTGTAAAATCAAACGTACATAATATGAGGGGGGCATGTACACATACACACGCGCACATACGCTCATCCAACATACTCGAACATATACAACAAAGCATTTACACACCCAGTTTTAGTCTCAATCAATCTTTGGGCATATTTGAACAAAAAAAAACAGGGGAAAAATGTACAGGCGTTTGGTTCTTTGCTTCCAAACTCAATTTCTTTTCTTTCCCATCCTTCCAACAACTCGACCCCCCCCAATCCCCACACTGCGGATACAAATTCTATTCTAAGTAATCTCTCCCGCACACCAAACAAAAAAATGTCGTCATACACTCTCTGATAATCTTTTTTTTTACATCTCTCACTTCAGACACGTAAGCTTCCCCATCTCCCCTCCCCCCACCCCGGTCGAAGATAATCCGCGAGGCGCTTTTATGTCGCGAAAAGTGAGGCGGAAGAAGCGGGGGAAAGAAAAAAACGGCGTTGTTTCCAGACGGCACACGGGAAGATAGTTTGCATATGTGAGCGAGGGAGGACCTTGTTCTCTTTGTTTGCTAGAGGTGATGGCAACGGGGAAGGGGGTGGAGGTTGGGAGATGGGCTGGGAAAGTGTTTGGCTGGGGGAGGGAAGAGAGGGAGAGGGAGAGAGAGTCGTGAGAAAAAGCAGAATGGGAAGGAGAGAGGTGAAGGTTGTTTGGTGATGGAGAGGGATTTGTTACGTGTTTTGGATATTTTCTTTTTGAAAAAAAGGAAAAGGTGAAGGGGGGGATGGAATCTCGTGTCTCATTTTTTTTAGGGCTATATAACTATCATGGTGGTTCTCTCGTGTGTGTCGTTCGTGAACTATCAAATATCGCCATGTACCGTATTAAATCCATTCATCGCAAATCCTATCTGTCTCTCATCTCAAGTCTCATCTGCAATCGTTTCTGAGCTCTTACTACATTGTACCAATCAAGTCATGTGACAGTACACCTCAGAGCAGGTAACTGTACAACCTTCGTGAACATCGTCATCAGTCATCATCGTCATCAAATACTCCTCTCGCTCTTGCGACCCTCGGTACTGACCCTGCTTGCACTTCTTGCTACACCAGGGTTCATTATGCTTCCCGGTGCAGCCGGAACTGCCGCACCACCAGCCGTCATAGGCATGGGACTGGCAGCCTGCGCGAGCGGCATGGTGCTACTAGCACTGTGGGCGAGGCCTGGTCCCTGCGCATTGCCCAGCTCAGGGTCCATGCTGCCATCTCTCTTCTCCCATTCGTCCTTGGCGTTCTCCTGATCACTGCTGCCGTCGTCGTCTTGGCCCGGGTTAGCGACTTCATACTCGAGGATCTTAATGAACTGGTAGAAAAGCAGGGCGAGAATGGCGCCGACGCCGGGGCCCACCCAGTAAATCCAGTGGTCTTTGTCGAAGACACCCGTTATCACGCAGGGGCCAAAAGAGCGCGCGGGGTTTAGGGAGCCACCGGTGTAGTAGACGCCTACAAGCTCACCGATGAAGAGGGCAAGGCCTATTCCTACCGGTGCAATGAAGGTTGCTGTTTGGAAAAGTGTTAGTTGTTGTGGCTTAAAGTGGGAGAACTACGACAATGAGCGTACCTTTGTGTTTCTCTTTTGCTAGCATGAAAATGGTAAAGACCAATTCTGCTGTCAAGACAGCCTCAATCATTGTTCCCTGTGCCAAACTCGTTCCCTGACCCAAAGTTGTCCTAACATTGAAGTTTGTCGGAAACAGCACACTGACCAAGTAACTTGCAAATATACTTCCGACCATTTGTGCTGCAAACAACAAGAAAGCTCGGATGGGGCTCAGTGCGCGACACAGCAGCATAGCAAACGTGACGGCCGGGTTGAACAAGCCACCGGAGATTCGGAAAAAGACCCAGACGTTGACCATGAGGGAGAACGCAAAAACGAGGGCAATATACAAAAGAACAATGGGAGAGAAACCAGCGGCTTCACCTGTCGTAGTGTTGTCTTGGGGCGCAGCAGCAGACCTGATATTAGCGACTTGAGTGCCCGAAAAGGCAAAAAACAAAAACATTGTCGTACCGACGAATTCTCCCACAAAAGCTACAAAATCTATCATAAGAGAGTTAGTCACAAAGCTATCTGTTGTTTGCAGCCAAAGATTATGGGAGACTTACGGTTCTTTGCATTGCTTCCCATCCAAATCATCCAAGGCAATCTCATTGCCACCTCTGCACTTGGTATCGGGGGTGGAGGCCCCCTACCCCCACCAGTACCCTGTGCACCAGAATATCGTCCATATGCATCCTGATAGTATGGGTAGTACATCTCGTAGTTTGGCCTACTAGGAATGTCTGCATAGGCAGGGTATGTGTTGGCATCCCAGTTATTCCTTGGCATTACTCCATATCGTGCGCTTTGCTCAGGGAAGTTGTTGTACGAAGCTGGAGGGCGTGTATGCTGTCTGTTGGTACGATATGAATCTGCTCGGGGTTTCTGGTCTTCTTCTGGGTATTCCTCTACAGAGGGTACTGCGTGATTGGAGGAATTGAAAGGTACAGTCTGAGATGCCCTTCTAGGACGTGTGGGCGCGAGCGGGGGCACACTTGGTGGTTCGTTTTCTACATGAGGATCGAGACGTCCTGTGTATGCTTGAACAGGCGTACGTAAAAACTCCTGTCTGGATTCACTGGATGGAGTGGGATTCAGCGGTGCAGGAGAATCCACTATCGATCTATCAGGGGTTTGCCCCGTATAGAAACGACGGAAGGTACTGCTCGATCGCGACATGAATTGGTTCGGCTCGTTGAAGGTTTTGGATGGAACCTGTAGATTTGTAGTATGGGTACAACCTCTGCAGGCAAATTGATCAAGAAGTTTTATTCAAAGATGCAGGATCCCTGTAAGTACGTTGGAATTGGAACGTTGAACAGAGCATATGGTCGTTCTTCCTGAGGGAACACCGAAGATCATATATGCTAATAGCCAAGGCAATGAGGGAGACCCTGTCAGCGGCTTTTCACCGCCAGAATATGTCCGATACCGTCTCTTGAAAGTCCTCTCGGTGATGACCCAGCCACCCACACCAGGTCTCATTCGTCGATGGAAGCAACAGGTGGGCGCCAGATCAAGGGTTTCTATATCGAGTTCAAGCCGATGATGCGAATGACGTCCTTGGCTGATCTTGAAACGGGAAGAATCCGAAGAAGCACTGTTGTAGCATGGGTAATGCTGTAAAAGGAGCATGCATTACCTGGTCGACCACGTGACAGACGCGGGACGAGATCTGCTGTAAGATAGCCAAGACGTTCGCAAGGTTGGTCGGGTCGGGCAAATTGTGGTACCGGAAGATCTTTGCGAGGCATGGATAGTTGTGTGCGGCTGTAGCGCGAACCAGGGTCTTTACAGTTGGCAGTAACAACGTTCAAGTTCTGTGTAGGTGCAATGGAACACCCCTGTTGTACGAGTTCTTGGCAAGCTCGCCCTGTTTTTACATAGGCACAAAAGCAAAACTACCAGCATCTTGCCACCAGAGGCGCGCCGAGATGGGCCGATAATGACGAGCACGTAGACGCGTGTACTTTCAGCCTTGAAAAGCTGCCATGGTGGCTGAATGTTGAAAAATGACGGACCATGTTGAAGCCGAAGAGCCGCTGCCATGCATCTGACTGAGATGCTGGTAGAAGTCTAGTGACTCAAGAATTTGGCGAGAATGAGCGAATGATTCGTCGTCAGTTGTTGAGCAAATACAGTAGTATTGCAGCAAAATGACTAGCGGTCAAGTACGAAATGTGGAGATTTGCTTTGTCCGGAAGCAAACCTAAGGGTCCCTGATAAGCTTATGTAGTGAAATACCGGGGATTTGATCTCTCTTCACATGACGCACGCCAGCCAGCCACCAGGCATTGTACCGATATGCTCGATCAAACTTGGTTCCGATATCGCCGAGAGCGCAGAACGCACAATAGAAACTTTGTAAGGACAGACCTGACCAATAAGCATAGATTTCGTCGTCCATATAGTGAGCCGATGTCGGCCTCCATTGAGCGTCCCTCTGTCCTGCAACATCATATACGCGTTGGGAGGAAGACTCCGGCTTATGTAGTAGACATTTACTGCTTTTTTTGAAGTTGCAAAAAGAGGCAAAGCTGAGAATGCAAATTGAAGACGATAAGCAAGGAAAAGCTGATTGTGAAACTAGATGCTCAAAAAGGGTGTTTATTTTATTCCGTCATAGGGTCATCAAAACGCATGGGTTGTCCCAGCGAAGTGTGCTTTGGTAACGTTGGATACGTATTTACTTCTGCTCGCCTTGGCCGGAAGCCTCGGCTTCCTTGATGACTTGGTCGCTATGTCACGGTTAGTCTGCTTTTACTTGTAGCCGAGAGTCATTGGTATCACTGACATGTGCTTGTCTAGCTCGTCCATGTGCTCCCTCTGCTGCCTGAGCTTCGCCTTGATTCCCAGAAGCCTGTGCACCGTCAGCAATACGCTCCAGGATATTTACAAGTACCCTGTATGTGATGCGATGCGCGCAAAATACCGTCCAGGGTACTGAGGTGAGCGTACTTGGCCTTCTCTTCTTGACGAATGTAGAGCTCCTCGGCAGCAGCCTCGCGCTTGGTGAAGGCGTCACTATCGATACAGTTAGTATGTGCTCACTTGGTGGCAATTGAGGCTGGGAAGCTTGCTTACCCGCCAGCAGTTCCGGTAGGTCTCGATGAGCCAGAGCCGGTAGCTCCCTCAGCCAAGCGCAGAGCGGATGCGGAGAAGTAGCGGGGAGCGGCGATTGAGCGCGCGCTCTTGATGATGGATGTTCGAAGCATTGTGTGGGGGTTGTACAAAGAGCAAGGGATTGGGGGATTGGAAGGTCTTGGTGTGGTCTTATGCAATTGAGTGTTGAGGTGGAGTGATCACAACCGATGCCTAGGAGCTTGGACGTTGCGTCATTGGTTGATGGAGTCACGTGACGCGATCATGGTGGCTCAAGCCAGGCCAGATGCCAGATGCCCACTTGGACCCTGATGCCGTGCAAACTGGGCACGCCTGATGAGGCCGCAGCCAGGACGCAAAGTGACTGCTGATGGGACATGTGATGGTCTTGTGTTATGGCTTGGACAGCATCCTGGTATTGCATTTTCTGCGCAGGTCGTGGATCTTCGGCCAAAAAACAAGTGCCATGGGGAGCGAGATGGGTGCGGCTGCATGCACAGCAACCACACGGGCATGGACTCAGCTCGACGGTCCAAAACAAGTAATGGACACATGGTTGGGCCACGGTAGGCATGGTGCTCAGAGCCGATGGGTGCCTCGTCGAGGCAACAAAGGGCGATGCCCAAGGCCTCACAGCAGAGTCGAGTCCTTGTACTTGTAGCTGTCATCCAAGGCGTGGCCAGTGGGGCAGCCAGCATCTGTATGTACATGTGTATGTATGTACACTACCACCACACACACAGTACATGTGTACATGGATAGGCGCCTGGAATGCCGTCCGAGGCGGGCTTCAGCCTCACGGGCCCAAGGAGCACACACAGGCAGACGCTAGGCAGACAATGGCCCTTCTGGCGGTGACTGGCTCTGTTCGCCTGTCAACAGGCAAAGGTCGCGCTTGTTCTGGGCCGTGTGAAACGACCAAGGACGGGCAGGCGTGATCGACGCCAAGCCCAGTCGGGTTCTCTCACCCTCTAACTCCCCTCCTCTGATAACTCAACCCTAAGCCGCCCTTGACCACAACTCCTTCACCTCGTTTTCTTGTCCTCACCACTTCGCCGTCTTCTGCAACCCACGCTTCTGCAAACCTATCCCCTCTCCACATCTACTTTTCTCTTCGTAAGTCAGTCACCGCATTTCGTCACGCACCCCCCCAAAAGCCGTAGATGGCTGCAATTTGCGCCCTCTGCCGCAACATCGACAACAACGATATCGCCACCCGTGCCCTCTATGACTCTCACTCGTCCAAATCACCCGCACCAACACTCGCCATGGTCATTGTCGCGGCGGTGTGCTTCGGCGCTCTCTTCGGGGGGCCGTGAGTGAGAGCTTGAGCCGCCCCTCTTTGCGCCCACCGCTGTTAGGTGCAAAGGCTACGCAAGCAATTGCACGCAGCTCCACTTGCCGCATCCTCCGGACCCTTTATCACAACACACCAAGCACTCAACAGCGACAACATCAGGGCGATTTTCCCCTTCATCACAACAGCAGCGCACACTGAGCGTCTTGCCGCTCAACAACCGCGATAGCAGCCGATTGCGCTTTGTCCGCGCTCTACACCAGTCCACGTCAGCTAACAGTCGTGCACGCAGACTTCACAATGGGTTACGAAGACTCCGTATACCTGGCCAAGCTGGCCGAGCAGGCCGAGCGCTATGAGGGTAAGCACTTGTGCCACAAGCCCCAAACTTCACAGACTGACAGGATGGCGCAGAGATGGTCGAGAACATGAAGGCCGTTGCCTCCGCGGACCAGGAACTCTCCGTCGAGGAGCGAAATCTCCTTTCCGTTGCCTACAAGAACGTCATCGGTGCTCGCCGCGCGTCCTGGAGAATCGTTACCTCCATCGAGCAGAAGGAGGAGTCCAAGGGTAACGAGGCCCAGGTTGGTCTTATCAAGGAGTACCGCCAGAAGATCGAGGCCGAGTTGGCCAAGATCTGCGAGGACATTCTCGAGTGCCTTGACAGCCACTTGATCCCCTCTGCTGAGAGCGGCGAGTCCAAGGTCTTCTACCACAAGATGTAAGGGATTCTACATATGCCATGTTTGAGGGCATTTGCTAACCGCATTGTGCTTTTACAGGAAGGGCGACTACCACCGCTACCTTGCCGAGTTCGCTGTTGGCGACAAGCGCAAGACCTCTGCCGACAAGTCACTTGAGGCTTACAAGGCCGCTACCGAGGTTGCTGCCTCTAGCCTGGCACCTACCCATCCCATCCGCCTCGGACTTGCCCTCAACTTCTCCGTTTTCTACTACGAGATCCTCAACTCGCCCGACCAGGCTTGCCAATTGGCCAAGCAGGCTTTTGACGATGCCATTGCTGGTATGTGCAGGATGCAAAATTCACATACAAAAGCTAACATTGACACAGAGCTCGACACCCTGTCTGAGGAGAGCTACAAGGACTCTACCCTCATCATGCAGCTCCTCAGGGACAACCTGGTAGGCCTTTGATGTGAAACTTTGTTGCAATTCAAATGCTAATCAATTCTAGACCCTCTGGACATCGTCCGAGGCTGAGCCCTCTGGTGACGCCCCCGCCGCCGAGCCCGCTACCGATGCGCCCAAGGCTGAGAGCAGCGAGGCTCCTGCTGAAGCCAAGGCATAAAGTCGAAAACATGATATCAGACGCAAAAACGGCAGGGGTTAATGGTATGGTGTATCACGGTAAGAGTCAATGATGTCTTAGTCATCATTTTCTGGTGGCATCAAGGGTGTATCCTAGCGTGCTCCAGGCCGGGTGCGCTTTGTTAGACTCTGAATTTCCATCCTGTCCACACTTCATGCACCCGAGGCTCTTTCGATTGTCCTGTCCATTCCCACCAGTATGCGTCATATACGGTCACGTTTTGTATGTTCCTCAACGTTCATGGTTGCCCCGGTCTAAGACTTAGATGTTGACGTCAACGTTCATTTTTGGCATGGTCAGAGAGTGTAGTAGATGCTCATTCTGGTTCTGCGATTCCCTACAAATCCCCTCAGAAGGCTTATAATTCAAGACTATTTGCTCCTTTTCAGAGACTGTTCAGGGACATATGACCAGACATGACGTGTTGTCTATTGCAAAGTGAAGTACTGACTCGTAAAATGATGTGATGATCTGGAGTGAGACAGATAGAGGTTATTAGATATGTGGGGTTAGAGATAGTGAGCTATGAGTACGGAGAATGTGGCATGTTGCTTAGTCTAATTAGTGCGTATCTGCAAACAGGTGAATGAACAGGGCTGGCTGAGAGACGCATCCAGTGGCAAGTGGAGGAAGACAGTCACAAGCTCAAAGTCTGAACACGTATACGAAATTGGAATGCTCATATTTCTGACCAAGAAAAAACCACTGCCTTGGTTCGTGTTTAGATGTACATAGTTCCCTACCCCACTTTCTTTTTCACATGCATGTAGTTCCCCATCTACTCTACGCGTGCCAAAGCCTGGCCACAGCCTCGGTGATACCAACATCATTAGTCTCGAAGGAGTAAAGGGCGATACCAAGGGTGACGGTTCCAATGCGGAGTGCCCACATGGAGAGGTTACGAATGAGGGGTACTCGCTTCTTAGGGAAGTAGTCGATGATGGATGCCCTGGACATGTTAGAGGGGCGGTTGATTTCTGGTAGAATTAGATTTGAACATACTCAAAGCCAATGTGCGAGTGAATGACCAAGAGAGCGCAGAGAATCGAGTCAGTAAGTGGGTTTAGCGATCCAGCAGCAAAGGGCGCAATAGTCAAGGGAATCAGACCGGCGGAGACGATCCTGTGCCGCTGTCAGTTTGTGGTCCTACATCACATGATGCAAGAGTTGCAATCATCCTCTTGCAGCTCGTCAAGTATACCTCTCGAAACTCCAGTGGTAGCTGCCATGGGCATAGTCTGGCTCGGGTACAGGCACAGGGTCGTTGGTGGTTCCGACAATCTTCTGGGGCAGCGGGGGCAGGATCTGGTTGCGCTGAGTGGCGTGGAAGGCGGCGACGCGCGTGGACTGGGGAATGGCTGAGCGCTGGAAAGCTGGGCGAAGCTGCTGGGCGAGAGGGCGGCTGGTGGTGGAGCTGGCCGTCGACAGCATGCGGTGCGCTGCTTGGGGCTTGGTGTAAGCTTGCCTGAGGAGGCCGGGGCGCATAAAGGAAGCCATTGCAGTGGTTGGAGAGGGGCAGCTGGCAGGGGACAGATGCAGTGGGAGTGGGAGGTCGCAAGACGATATCTCGGGACGGTCGAACAGATGTTGACGACAATGCCTCGGATGAGCGATGCTGACGTCCCTGCGGCGCTCATTGGCCAGCGGCGGGAATCGGGAAGTCCCGTGACAGCAGATTTCGAACGTCAATCAACCTCACCTAGAGCCAAGAAGTTGCAGCTTCGACGAATCTCAACCCCAACCCCCCATCACCGCCCCATCTCCATTCCTCCCCTGCACAGCGAGCAGACGCAATGGCTTCCCGGCGGCTCGCACTCAACCTGCAGCAGAGCATGCGCTCTCGCTCCGCCATCAGCGCCGTCAAGTCATCGAGACAGTCGCCTTTGACACGAGGCCTGGCCACGCCCATTTCCTACGGCGCAAAGACCGAGTCGACCACGCTCAAGAATGGCTTCACGGTATGCCGCAAACGTTGCCAACTAGCAGGACTGCAATTGACCCCAGTGTGCAGATTGCTACCGAGCACTCCCCGTGGGCCCAGACCTCCACCGTCGGTGTGTGGATCGACGCAGGAAGCCGCGCAGAGACGGACGAGACCAATGGAACTGCACACTTCTTGGAGCATCTTGCTTTCAAGGTACGAATACGCGGATGCACGGCAGGCCGCCAATGGCAGTGCGGGGCGACAGGACGCTGATGTAGAGACAAACAGGGCACCCAGAAGCGCACGCAGCAGCAATTGGAACTCGAGATTGAGAACATGGGCGGACACTTGAACGCCTACACTTCGGTACGTTGCGCCTGATGGGGGACGCATCTGGACGCCGCATATTGATGACGTGACAGCGCGAAAACACCGTCTACTACGCCAAGGCTTTCAACAACGACGTCCCCGCCGCCGTCGACATTCTCTCTGATATCCTCCAAAACTCCAAGCTCGAGCCCGCCGCGATTGAGCGCGAGCGTGATGTCATTCTCCGCGAGCAGGAAGAGGTAGACAAGCAGCTTGAGGAGGTCGTTTTCGACCACCTCCACGCCACCGCTTTCCAGGGCCAGCCCCTCGGCCGCACCATCCTCGGACCCAAGGAGAACATCCAGAGCATCCAGCGCGCCGATCTCGAGAACTACATCAAGACCAACTACACTGCTGACCGTATGGTCCTTGTCGGTGCTGGTGGCATTCCCCACGAGCAACTCGTCGACCTTGCCGAGAAGTACTTTGCCAACCTACCCTCCGAGCCCCAGGACTACTCTGCCAAGTCTCTTGCTGCTGAGCAGAAGCAGAAGCCCGACTTTGTTGGATCCGAGGTTCGTCTCCGTGATGATACCATGGGTACCGCCAACATTGCCATCGCCGTTGAGGGTGTGAGCTGGAGCGACCCCGACTACTTCACTGCGCTCGTCACACAGGCTATTGTTGGCAACTGGGACCGCGCCATGGGTACCTCTGACTACCTTGGTAGCAAGCTCAGCAACTTTGTCTCCCAGCATGGTTTGGCCAACAGCTTCATGAGCTTCTCCACCAGCTACTCTGACACTGGGTATGTTGCTGAAGGAGTATTTTTTTGGGAGAACAATGCTAACACGTCATAGTCTCTGGGGTATCTACCTCAACAGCTCCAACCTGACCCAGCTTGACGACCTTGTCCACTTTACCCTCCGCGAGTGGACTCGCCTTTCCATGAACGTCAGCTCTGCCGAGGTTGAGCGCGCCAAGGCCCAGCTCAAGGCCTCCATCCTTCTTGCTCTTGACGGCACCACTGCCGTTGCCGAGGACATTGGTCGCCAGATTGTTACTACCGGCCGCCGGTTATCACCCGAGGAGGTTGAGCGCGTTGTTGGCCGCATCACAGAGAAGGACGTGATGCAATTTGCCCGCAACAGGCTATGGGACAAGGACGTTGCCATTTCTGCCGTCGGCCAGATTGAGGGTCTTTTGGACTACAACCGTATCAGGAACGACATGAGCAGGATGCTTTCATAAGCATGTGTAAGTAAGAGGAGAAAAGTAGGGGAGGGGGGCAGAGAGTGTGTATCTGTGTCTGTGTTGGTGTAGAGTTATAGAGTTGGCAGCTGTGAGCGTTTTTCTCCGAACAGCATGCGAGACCTGTATTTTGTGTACACTTATGTCGAATTTGACAAAGAAGATTTTAATATCTGTGTCTTGTGAGTAGTTGTGATTGTGTGTGACTTTGTGGTGTTATTTTGTTGGCTATGTCAGTGGATGTGGATGTGTTATGTTGCACAGTAGCAGCTGAAGAGGGCAAGGAGGGAAGCTATGTAAACATGGCTGTTAGGCAGTGAATTAGATTATTCCACTAGTTTTAGGCGATATGAATGTACACAGTAGTAGTAGTAGTGAGAGATGCAACTTTCCAAGTCAAAAACTCAGTAACCTCCTCGCCAATAAAGAAAGAGAGGTCTAATTTCTTTTTTGTACACGACAAACAAGATGTGGAAAAATGTTTGATTCATAATCTGATTTCTTAGGATAGACGTTTTTTCCTTCTTCTTCTTCTTCTTCTTCTTCTTCTTCTTCTTAACCTACATGATGACAGTCTTGTACTCTATTTGAAATCTTCCATGTCTCATGTTTCTATTACTTGTTCCCTTATTTCTCTTTTTTTCTTTTCTTCTTTAGACCAACACTACCTTTGAGTATTTCTGTACTATCCACCATCACACCAACAAGCCATTACGTTAACTTGCTTAAGGAAGAGAGAGAGAGAGAGAGAGAGAAAAGCAAGCATGTACGTACGTAGGCCTATTGCATTCATCATATCCGATATGGTTTGAGAACAGGTCATGCATTGCAATGTAGCTTTTTCGTGATATCTTGTAAATTAGAAACTAGCGGCTAATTATCCTAGTATACAAAGACGGGTGGTGATGGGGGTGGTGGTGAGTACGGGTTTCGTATGTGTGTAATACATGACGTGTCTGTTTTTTTTTCCTTTGCGAAGATAGTATGGCTTTTCTTTCCAAGTCAAAAAAAAGTAAACAAAAAATCTACATGTCGCACCCGAACTAGAAACCGGGAGAGAGAGAGAAAAAAAAGGGCCAAGACAAAGTGGTATTAACCCCAACTTATCCTGTTCATTTCTTTTTTTTTTCTCTCTTTTCCTCCCAGTAACAACACCCTCTTTGCCGTATTCTCCTACCCTTTTCCCATACTTTTTTGTTTTTACTTCAAGTACATACAAACCCCACTTCATGCGCTCATCTCTCCAATCAACCAACCGACCAACCAACCCTTATACTACTCTTTTTCTTCTCCCTTGCTTTCCTCATTAGCATTGTTATTCAAATCTCACACATAACCTCACATCACCTCTCCTATCTTTTTTTTTCTCTCTCGTAAATACACACACGGACACACACACATATATATATATATACATATATTATTGAACTCTGAGCGATACCCATCCTAAGTCGCACTATACATCAGAAAGAAGCGTTAGTGGTGGGGTAAAAGAGTAAGGCGCAAGTGTCCAAGTGTGTAACTAAGGGGGAAGCTAAGAATGAGACTAAATCCGGGTATCCGGCATGGAAAGACGATGGGCTTGTCGATCATTTTTTTGGGAGGGGGTGAGGGGAGGGGGGTTCATGCGTGGTTACATTTTAATAAAGGCGGGGGATGTACGAATGTGTGTGTGAGAGAGAGATGGAAAAGGAATGTGATTTACTTTGGTTGTAATTTTTTCTTTAAATTTTTTAGGAAGGAAGGGGAGGACAAAGGTAAAGGTAGCACGTTGCAAACTAAAGCAGGGAAACGAGAAAATCAAAAGGGGGAGAGAGAGAGTACGAGGGACGTCGTTACCAAGTAAGAAAAAAAAAAAGCTTGGATTCACAACGCGTGTACTCTTACCGCCCATCTTTTTCTCTCCCTACTACTTCAGGATATAAAAAAAATAATTGTTCGTGTAGCTTTATTAACGCATGAGTGAGCAGAGTTTCGTCTTTAACGTCCCGCATTCCCACACGTACTAAACCACTAACCGCTAACCCTCCTTCCCTCTTCCATAGTCGCACAGTCGCACATTTACATACAATCAAACCAAACGTATCAGCCAGCCCGGCCGTCCCCCCCATTTTTTTTCCCCTCACGCGTTGTCCGTGCTAACAAAATCTCTCACTCTCTCTCTTTAACAAATTAAACACAAACCATCACCCTTTTTTTTTTCCTTTGATCCAATCACTTTCCAAAAATGTGATGCCCCACTATTAAGCAAATTAACACATAGCTTAGGATGCCCTTTTTTTTTTCTTTCAAGGGACGATCCGGAAGCTGTAGCTCGTAATGTGATTGAGGGAACATGGGTTTGGGGCGTGTGTCAAGGGTTGGGGGAGGGAGGGGGAAGGGGGAAAATAAATGTTAAAGAGAGAGAAAGAGAGAAGAGTTGGTGGTGATAGGCTTGGATAAGCTTTGGGGATACGGGATGATTTCCGGGGGACGGGAATGGGATGGGATTGGGTGAGGAATATACTGTGGAGCTTTTTTATTTGGGCTATGGAGCTTAAATTTTTTTTGGGAGATTGAAATTGAATCGAGTCGGTGTGTGTGTGTGTGTGTGTGTGTGTGTGTGTGTGTGTGTGTGTGTGTGTGTGTGTGTGTGTGTGTGTGTGGCTATGCGTGTGGGGAAATGATTGGAACTTAGAAATTGGATAGGATCGCGATGTCGCGATCAAAGTGTACATTCGTTCATATATACGTAACGTCCGGGAAAATAATCGGATAGCTGTTCGAATCGCAAGAGATGACGTGAGAGGGGAAAGGGGGGGTTAGTTGCCCCTCTTGTAATAAACAAACAACAAACAATAATTGATATGATATAGGAAATAAGGGTGGGACACGTAGATACGTGAGTATACATGCTACCAGGACCCTGGAACATTGATACTAAAACATAACTATGCAAACAAATAGGTGGATGTGATGTGATTTATTCCAATCTGCCCAAAAGTTGTGCAAAGCCAACAAAAAAAATAAGCTCATGTCAAAACAAAAACAAGGTTTTCCTTGGCTTCTCTCCTCCGCAGGAGAGGAAAGCCTTGACCTAAAACGCCCTTTCCCCTTCTCCAGTAAATAAAGTTTGCCTAACCAATGAGTATTCTTTCGCTTTCTCGCCATCTTAAGCATGCTTACAAGCAACCCCCCCCGGCCCCCGGTTTGAAGGCTTGATCTCTAAAAAGAAAAGCGCCTTTTTCCCGTTGGAGCGTTGAAAAGAAAAGAAACAATGGGCATGTCATGTGAGCTATGCGCCATCTGTGGGATAGAACCGGATTGCCAAAAAAACAAAGAAAAGCAAAAACGACCCCCAAGAACACCGCGAATTTGGTCATGACGCAACAAAAAGTTGTTTAAAAATCAAAAGTGTCAGCCAGCAATTGTAAGGCCCAGATATAGCGGGAGCAATTGTGCCGTGGTATATGCGCAGAAAAATAAAATCAAGTTGAGCGACAAAGCAACAAGCCAAGCAAGAGCCCAGTCGAGATTATTGTCGTAAGGTGGTAAGACAGAAGCTGTAGGCTGAATGGAAAATTGGAACGATGATGACGATGATGATAAACGCCGGTTCCCAGGCCTGTACCGCTATGCAGATGCTCGTAAACGCGGTCAACATGTGAGTGTCGTGTGTATTGGAAGGATAGATGGATTGATGGATGTGTGCGTGGTTGGGTCATGGTGGTGAGTATGTGAGGCAGTAGACCATCATGATTGCGTGGTAGTGAGGATTGGGTAGGCGCGTCGAGTCCATGATGAGCCGAGGATTGGGAGGGAGGCCGACACGGTAGAGGCTCACAGGGCGCGTGTGAGTATGGAGGAGCTCTGATTGTTATTTGATGGGCTTGCCCTTGCCCTTGACCTTTGTGGCCTTTCCAGCGCCGGCGGAGGTGAGCTTGCTGGTTTGCATGAGCTCGCCAATGTATCTGGCATGGGTCAGTATAGGGCCATGTCGTGGGCGAGGAAGGAGCGACATACGATTGCAGGAACTTGTTGCCGCCCTCGAGCTTTTCGTGTTCGCTCTTGACCACTTCGACGCGGTCGACGATTTCCATGAGACTAGCTTGCAGGGCTTTTGCTTGTCTGACGAATGCGGGTTAGCCGAGGGGGGCGGGTAAAGGGAGGAGGAGGAGTAGGAGTAGTAGGCGAGGAGAAGGACTCACTCTATGAGGGCCTGTCGAGCATCCTGGCCCATTTTTTCAATTTCCTCGCTGCTGCGGCGGGGACTCATTGTGCGCGCATCGCCGTCATCGTACTCTTCCTCCTCTTCCTTCATTTCGACATTGGGGCTGTCGCGGGGTATTATGATGGTGCCGCTCGACTTTCTGCTGCCGAGACGGGGCCGGGGCTGGAGGGTGGGGTCGGCGGCCACGTCCTTTTCGCTGACGGACGAGTTTGACGACGAGGTTGACATGGCGTCGGTCTGGCTGTGCGAGTGGTTGTGGTGGTAGGCGAGAGGGGCGTGGTTGGGCGTGCAGGGAGGCGGGTAGGAAGAGAGGGAAATGTGTGGGATCATTGCACGGGACAGTCGAAGTGCGGCTCTCGAGGTGTAGGTTTAGAGACGGAGACGGGGACGGGTGGGCGAGGACCGGCAAGAGGATGCCGTGGGTGGGTTCAAGCCAAGGCAGAGGCACACGGGCGCTGTGGAAGGATGCTAGAGTGGTGGAGCCCTGGTCAGGCGCTAAGCCGGATGGGGCTTCAGGGTCTCCCGAGACGACAATCCCTGCGATGGCAGCGGCCTGTCCACCTCGCACCTCGAGCCCGGGCGCTGCGGCGGCGGCAAAATGCTCAATGGCGGGCGGAGTGGGAGCACTGGCCCTTGATGACGGCACCCGCCCTCGTGACCGGGCCTGTCGCGCCCAAGCCTGGGGCAGCGGCGGCGGCGGGTGATGGCTGTGTACCGTAGCGAGCGCGAGACGGCCTTGCTTTTTTGATTGCTATCGACGATTCTTTGGCACAGCAGCAAGCGTAGCACCAGCACCAGCACCAGCACCAGCACCAGCACCAGCACCAGCAGCCTGGTGGTGCGACGATCGGCAACGACAGAACAAGGGCAGGGGCAGCGCACCCACCCCGAGGAGTCGGACGAGTCGAAGCGGTCAATTAGCGTATGAGATGGCGGAGCAGCGGTGGCCACGAGGGGG